TAAGCAAAGCAGTACTTCCCAAAATACTCTCCCAGGCTGCAGCAATTTCCACATTGAAGGTTCCTCCAGACAGATGTGTTATCCTCCTACAGAACACTACCCCATGGGCTTTCTACCCATTTATTTGTCCAGCTACCTCTTTAATCCATGTAAACCTTTAGCAACCCTAACATCCTGAAATCTTACTCTTCTCTTACTAAGAATTAAGTGATAGTTAATAGAATAATTTTTTTCTTTTATTCAATCTCATCTTTTCACCCTCTGTTAAGTCACAACTAGTCATAAAGTAAATTGCTAGTGTTTTGTCCCTAAAAAAAAAAAAACATATCCTTCAATAGAGAACAATCCCAACAGAAAAAACTTGCTTCCAAATACCGAACATACCACAAACACAATCCACAATCTCTACTCTCACTGAAAACCATCTGAAATGCTAAAATCACACTCATACACTAATTTCTCCTAAATTCCTTGAACTAAAAAAAAATCAGTTTTATACTTGCAATTATTGCGAATTATTATTAAAGCTATTATTTTCCCTCACAGATATATCTCATTTAATATTCTAAAGCATTAAGTAAAATGCTTACATGAATTTTTAAGTAAAATATTGATTCTAACTTGTCTAATACTTACATAACCATTTTTAAACTTCACAATAGCAATGCACACTAAAAAGATCACAGGAGCTACAAAAGAGCAGTTTAACAGGTCAATACATAACAATTCTTCTCAAACTTAAAGTATAAACTAGCAGGTTACACCATATTTAATAACTATGATTAGAACACCAGTACACATTACCTGACCATGAAGTGTAGCTGGTAGTTTCTTACAAATACAAAAAACCATTAAGACAGTAAAATCTGTTCAATTTTAGGAAAATATCAGATATTTATTCTGCTCAGAATATCACAATAATATCATAATATTGTAATAATTTCAAGGGAGTGTGTAAAGATAGTATTTCTAATTTTTCCACATTTTGAATGGCAAATTCTCTGAAGAATACTTGTCATCTTTTCAACTGTACCACACAATCCAATATCAGGAAAAAAGCTGAAAAATATCATAGTGTCTTATACTATAAAAAAGAAACACAGCCTTCAAATATCTTTCCATCTATGGTTGTTGCTACACACATTAGACCTACCTTGTATTTCTTCAGAGAAATACTTTAAGGTACATAGTAACTTACATAAAAAGAACACTGTTCCAACCTTCACTAGTTTTGTAAATGATTCAAAGCTAGCATAATTTACTATCATTTTCATGACTCTCAAGAGTCTTTGAGCAAGCTTATACTGCGATGAGCAGATGAAGTGGGACACATCACAAGGTGCACTCAAATACCTGAACACTTGCGCAGTTTAGAAGGAGCTGACCCATTCTTTTCTCAGAAACAGACACAAAGAAAAATGTAGCTTTCAGTATATAAGTAAAAAGTGAAGCTCAAGGTTGTAAGCTCCAAACGAAATTATTTTTTATTCACTTCCTTTTTTTAAAGCATTTACAACACTGACATGATAGTATCCTTTGCACTTAAGCCAAACAGCCAAGATACTGATATACTCTATTTTTATGAACATGATTTCTGTGTGTACACATTAATACACAAAATCTTTTTTCATTGTTTAATTTTTCCTGTGATTATCCCATGGATTCATTTTAATACTAACCTGACAAACAAGACATCTGTTCTGCAAGTAGCATTATAAAGCCCCTATGACTGACCGCAACAGCTCAAAAATAAAGAGTAAAAAAATCTAATTGAGAGACAGAGTGAAAAGGAGTTTATTTGTAAAAAGCTAAGCTTTTATTACTTCTTCAAAGTGCATAGAGTACAGACAGAAAAATGCTATGAACAGAATCTCACCATAAACACACAGATTAGGAAATACAATCAATCTCCCTCATTTGACCTGGTTTTTAATCTCAGTATCTTTTTGAATATAACCATTGCTTTGCAGCACCCTTTTGAGGGGTAGTGGAAAAAAAAACAGAAGCAAGTAGATACTCTTTGGAAACGCACACTAGAACCATTACATGTAAGTGAAGAGTGCTCACACTGATCTCAGCTATGACATCATAGAAAAAGGGCATCTCATATATAATCACAGAATCATAGAATCATTTAGGTTGGAAAAGACCTTTAAGATCATCAGTTCCTGCCATTACCCTCGCACTGCCAAGCCCACCACTATCCATGTCTTTAAGTGCCACACCTACATGTCTTTTTGAACTCCAGGGATGGTAACTCGACCAATTCCCTGGGCAGCCAGTTCTAGTCCTTGACAACCCTTTCAGTGAAGAAATATTTTCTAATATCCAATCTAAACCCCCCATGGTGCAACTCGAGGCCATTTCCTCTTGTCCTAATCATTTGTTGCTTGGGAGAAGAGATTGACACCCACCTCTCTGCAACCTCCTTTCAGGTAGCTGTAGAGATCGATAAGGTCTCCCCTCAGCCTCCTCTTCTCCAGGCTAAACAAGCCCAGCTCCCTCAGCCGCTCCTCACAGGAACTGTGCTCCAGACCCTTCACCAATTTCGCTGTCCTTCTCTGGACACACTCCAGCACCTCAATGTCTTGTAGTGAGGGGCCCAGAACTGAACACAGGATTCGAGGTGCAGCTTCACCAGTGCTGAGTATAGGGGGACAATCCCTTCCCTAGTCTGGCTAGCCACCTGTTCCTGATACAGACCAGGATGCCATTGGCCTTCTTGGCGACCTGGGCACACCGCTGGCTCATATTCTACCGGCTGCCGACCAACACCGTCCTTTTCCGCCAGGCAGCTTTCCAGCCACTCGTCCCCGAGCCTGTAGCATTGCATGGGGCTGTTATGACCCAAATGCAGGACCCAGACTTGGCCTTGTTGAACCTCATACAGCTGGCCTCAGTCCTTCAAACCAGCCTGGCCTATCAGCCAATCCCCCCAGTTTTGTATGGTCTGCCAACTGTCCCATCATCCAAATCATTAGTGAAGATGTTAAACACAACTGGACCCAGTACTGACCCCTGGGGTACACTTACAGAAGTTCTTGTTGCCTTTAATACCTCCCAGATTCCATTCCAGGTAGACTTTTGATATTCCCAACTACATTTCTGCATACTTAGACAGTGTCTCTATATCCCTCCTAGGCTACACGCCACTGCTTCTACCTCCTGTTTATGCTTGAGTTTTTTCAGAAGCTGGGATTTTTGCTTGACATCCTGCTTATTAGGATGGACCACTTTTAAGCTTAGAGGAATAACAACCATTTTTTTTGGGCCTATCTTACCTCCAGGGCCTTATCCCACAGGACTCTTCCAAGCAGATCACTGAAGAGGCCCAAGGGTGCTCCCCTGCATGCCAGGGTTGTGGTCCTGCTTTCTGCCTTGACACCTGAGATCCTGAACCACACCATCTCATAGTCGCTATAGCAAGGGCTGCCTTCAACCTTCACATCTGCAATGAGTCCTTCCTTGTTTGTGAGTACAAGGTCCATTAGATAACTTTGGTCAGGAAGCTGTCAGGCTCTCCAGAGACTCTTGGATTACTTATGCCTGCTGCTCTCACACACACTTAGGTTAAGCTAGAACTCAGATGCCATCTCTATCTCATTTGATGGGCAAATCCTAACTCTCCATATAATGTCAAGGTGCTACTTCAAAATCAAGTTAGTTGCTCTGTCAAGGGATACAGCAGAAAACTTGGGTACATCTGATCCTAGAACTAGTATTACATTAGAACATTACAGACGTACCTACAATTTAGCAAAAATAACTAAATGTTAGCCAACAAACTCCATTAAATCAATCACTCCTGTATTACTAATCTAATACACTCCCCACAGCTTAGACATGGGAGAAGGTGGGCATTAGGAATTGTCTTATCAGGAAGAAGAAAACTAAGAGAAGGAAAAGGGAAGTGATATCTTCAAGACAAGAGCTGAAGAAGAGTGATGAGAAATAGGAAAGACACTATTTATGTATGCTTCTTCCAACCTCGGACTTTCTCTACTGAATAGCAGATTCCATTGAAGTCAGATTGCTTTATGACCCATTATAGACACCAAATCAGTAGTTTTTCTTTGGAACTTTTGTAATCAGGAAGATTTTTTTTCTCCCTAATTGGTATATCAGTCTATGTAGGGGTTTCCTACATCTTCCCCTTCTGTCCATACAAATACAATTCAATAAATATACAATATAATACAAATACAATATTAAAAAAAAAAAAAACCAGGATAGAGGAAAAACTTAATTTCACTTCCTTGTACCTCATACAACAAGGAAACAATTCAATTTGTGGCCTCAGTGATTGGTGGATTGATTTACACAACAGTTAGGAGTGGCATGAAGTGTCTAATAGCACTTCACCAGAACAATGTATGAAAATAAGTAGATGAATTGACCTCTACTTTACTCAGAGGTACAACTGCCAGATAAGTTAATAAAAGTAATTTTTGTATTTTAGGTTTTTTTTGGTTTTGTTTTGATGATTGGGGGGGTTTTATTGCTATTATAGATAACAAAAGCTTTATAAAACTTCAGCCCATCTTCAAAACCCCTCAGAATCTGTCATCCTCTGACCTAAGAAAAGCAAACAATATTAAAAGATCTACAGTCTCTCTGGCACAATGGCAGCAAGGTGCTGGATTCCACAAATAATTATATTACTTCTTAAATAATCTAAATAGTAAAAATTAAGGCTTCTAAATGAACATCACCATGTGAAAAAGAAAATGTAATTGGTAAGCTTTTAAACAGAAAAATAAGGATTTGCAGCACAGCAGCATTTCTCACTAATTTTGATGGTCCAAGTATACATATACCTCACACTTCAAGTGAATTCCCAGTGTTTTTCTACTGAGAATTCTACCAGATATTTACCTTCTGTATTAAATGCAACAGCTATAACACACTGTTTTCTATAAAATGCATTTTGTAACAAGTAAGCATTTGGTATTGTTTATTGCAAACAGGATGTTATGACGAATTAATCCTGCCATCCCCCTTCTGCTGTATGTTGCCAAAAACATCAGCTACTTCTATTCATCTCCTTTCCCCAAATAATGACAATCCTCAATCAAACTGAATGAAGACATAAGAACAAGCTCTAATTCCAATCAGAATCAAAAAGACCCTTTCTTAGTACTACCTTTCGTCACACACAAAAAACATTAGTTGTGCAAGTCCACCATCTGCTGGCCAAAAATTAACTTCAGCCAAATTATTGTAAGAGAAAACATTTTGACTAGTGGCATCTATAACATTCTCGCTGAGTTTGGTACCAAGCATTTTTCCTTTTCCTCTAAATCCCACTGGGCTGTACGCTGATGTGGCTGTCACACTGTGAACAGACTAAGCAGTTTGTATTTCCTCAGCGTCTATTCCTTTCACTAACATTTCTCCTTTATTATGTCTTTATTTTTAAATAATACCCATTTAGCCACAGCCATTAAGGGTTTTTTTTATTCTACTTGTTTTGTTCCCCACTCCTTTATTCCCCACTGCAGGAAACTTTCAGTGCTTTCTTTGCCTCCTCTTCCTATGCACCTAACACCTCAGTTAGGATTGCTGAATGCTGCTCTTCTCATTTCACCCCTTCCTTTTTTGATCTCCTTTCCTTAGTCTCACAACCTAATGAGAGTCCAATTCCATAAGAAAGAAATCTCTAACCTTCACTTTGCCCAGTCAGCACTTCAAAATTGGGTATTACTGCATTCTCTTTTCTTTAGAAATGTTGCTTATGCAACAGTAACCTTAAGATACTAAAGGACAATGAAACACAATCAAAACGAAGTGTACAGTTGTAAAAAGCTACACCAGAAGCCATTAACTGCCAACACTGAAGAAAAAAAAACAGAGACAAGAAAGAAAAAGGACAAGCTTCTGTTTCTTGAAAGAAACACTGCCTTCATATGCCCCCTTTTGGTCTCCACAAAGCAACAGTCTCTTCACCAAAACAACGCAAATCAGAATCTTCAACTATTTTCTAACGCCTTTTTATACAGCTATTTGGACACACAAAAGAATTTGGACTTCCTGCTTTCTCTCAACAATAAGCCATTGGGTGTTTATACTCATCTTTCAAAGATCACATAACCTAGTGCAAAAATTGAATCACCCTAAGCCATCTTGGCTGACGATATTTATCTCTGGAGACAGTCTTCAAGTAATTTGTCTTCTGTAAAGAAATATGAAATGTTAGCAGAGCCTCAGACCATCTGCCACAGGGAAATGCTACTATTGTTTTGAATTTCTAGAGAAGCCAGTAACATAGAACATCAAACAACTCAAGAATGCCATACATGGTATGTTCTTTTGGAGAAAAGTTTGCCTTGTATTTTTTAAATCTTCAAATCTTTTTTGAATTGCTAACATTTCTTCTGTTACACTCATTACTTAAATAATCCTTTCAAAATCCAGTTCCTATAGCTACATACATAGCCTAATTAATATCCATGCTTATTCTGTAATTCTTTAGAAAATTAGATCTGTGTTAAGAGTCTCTTTTTATCTGCGGAAATCTTGGCAAGTAACCAGCAAAATTCATTTCCTTAGGAAGTTCCCATTTGTCTGTTTTAATTCAGATGTATACAGTAATTGCAAGCACATTTCCAGGAAACTGCAGGCATTCCAAGCATGTATAAAGTACAACTCTCAATCATCCTCAGTGAAACAGAGAAGTAAAGTATTTCGTCTTTTAATTTTAAAGTTATTTAAAATATCACCAAATTTCCACAGAGGTACACAGATAACACATATATTGAAATACTAAGAAACAAATTAATAGTTCAAAAATTCTAGAGAGCTCAAAGTGAAGAAAGGGAAGAGTCATGATCAGGAAGAGCAGAAATTTCCTACTGTCTAAGGACAGAACTGTCTAACTCTTGCGGATGTGGAATTAATTTCAACCTTGCTTGGAGTCTTTAAAGTAACACAAAGATTTCAAATGAAAGACAGATTCTCAGTCACAAGGCAAGAATATTTCCTCTAAGTATAGTACCCTTAAAAGAGGGCTGGAAGGGATAAATTTCATAAAAATCTATGCATACTTCATCATAAATGCTCCCACTGACATCTGCTCCATAAATTGGTGATGCAATACTCAAGTTCTTCCAGTATTTACGCTCCAGATCTTCAAAACTTTCATGTCCTGGGGTGGCATATCTGCAGAGGAAGAGGTAGGTAGAGGTTCAGCACAGTCGTTCAATAACCACCTTCAAAATGGACTGAGCCTGCAAGCTGAATTCTAAGACATCACTTTATTTCAAATTCACTGAAAAAGAGGAATGATTAATTGTCCTGAATTCTTGTTTTCATGATTCATCATGGCATGTAACCTCCTACCTGACAGCTACAGTAACTGAAATGATACACCTACCCATACAACATTTTCCTCAATCTCCAGCATTTAAATAGTGCATCTACTGACTGTTCTCAGGCTGAGGCCCTTCCTTTTGTTTCTCTTTCATATAAAAGACAGACACAGAAAAGCCACTTAATTGACAATTATTTGTTATTTTCCTTCCTTACTACCAGCTCTGCAAAGACAGAGGTAGGTCCTGCACAAGCGTGTCTCACAACAACTCAAATGTACTAATATTGCCAAGTATTCCTTCTTCCTTCCCCATGAAAATCTTTTGAGAAAACTCACAGTGTTTCGAACAGTTGACAGCAAAAATTCTACCATGCAGTAAGAAAAAAAAATAGATAGATATATATATCCTTAAGGGAATTTTTCTTTTTACTCCTTCAGTGCAGCACAGGCCACAATACTTTTATATGTGTAAATATGTACATACTTTTGGAAGGTTACTCAAACCTCATGTAAAATCTTTGGGAATGCAGCCCAAACACACTACCATAGAAAACATTCATCAGCGACTTTTGCCTCAGGATTCTTTGTCAGGCCTATGCTCTTCCACAGGTTCTTCCCTATGTTCAGAACAGAAAACTTACCCCCCCTACTACTGCAACTCTGAGAAGTAAAGTTTCACATTACCACTGCCAACTTACTACACTTGAACTTCTGGAAAGAAAATCCAAGCATACAAGAACTAAGTAGACCAGGTACATTTCCATCATGCTATACACAGAACAGACATGCAAGTTAGTAAAGTACATCTTAACTAAAACATTCTCAAACAACATTCATATTGTGGTACCCTTCCATAACATAGGAGACATGAAAACCTCTAAGTAAGTGAAAAAATTACTCAGTAAGTGAAAAAATCACCAGCTGCCTAGCATCATTCCAAGAAACTACAACATGGGAACAAATAAATATTTGACTTGCTAAACAAGACCCCCCATATACATACCTGGCACTGGTGGCCAGCTGCCTGAACTCCTTTACTGTCATTGGCTTTTTCTTAATGTTGTACTGTGTGAAGACCCCCAACTGGCCAGTGATTGTCTGCTGAATTGGAGAAGGAATCACCAAATCTCCAATATCATTATAGTCTTTTCTTGGTTTCCACTCCTTTGGTGGGATAACCTTTAAATCAGAAATAAAAACCAGGACATCAACAGTTGCAATACTAAGTCAAAACACCTGGAAAAATCAAAAGAACCAGTCAAAGATGCTAACACGATCAAATGAACACTTGCTTACCAGCTGTTTCACTAGAACTAACTGCCCATGTAAGTACTCCTAGATAATGCAGAAACCAATTAAAAATGGGTATAGTACCACCTCAGTTCAAAAGCAGCAGCTCACTAATCCACATGAATTCAATCATGTGCAACTGTGAAAACATACACATGTATAACAGAACAGGCAAATATTTCGTAAACAGAAAGATTCAGATTCCATAATCCATGAACACATCATATTCCATGATATAATTTTTTTTTAATATTAAGCATAAGATTCACACAAAAGATTGACAGTCCCCTGTCCAAATGTTATTTGATGTGAACAATATGAATAACTATTTCTTACTGAAAAATGAAAAAATACACTTATTTTAGAAAGCTTTAGATTTGAGAATCTGTTTTAGAGTCAGCAGATTCTCAGGTGTTAGCAATAAAGTCATGAGTTTCAACACTCATACCAGTGTTCTTTAACAGGCTGTATAATTTTGAACATTCTTTGCAATATATTATTTTATCTGAAAACAGAAAACTCTCTAGATTTGAAATTGCAAGAGTTTTAAAACACAGCAACAGACATCTTTAACAAATATTTTTTGGTTTGAGTTTGAACTTTTACTTGCCCAATGACACATTCTTTGTTATACTTATTATACTTATATATAAGTATATAATATAAT